TCTTGAGAGGCTGATGGAAAGGGAAGAGAGATAAGAGACCCTCGGATTTGTCCGCAGTGGAATTTTCCTTCAAAACTGGGAAAATTCGTCTTATAACCTATATGATGCGCAAGGCACAAAGTACAGGTGCAAACTTTGTGCTCTAACCACGATGAATTCCGTAAACTTACGTTGGTTAGACAAGCGAGAGAAGTCACAAGACCAACACAGTAGTTAACCTGCTTATTCAAGTTAGCATGCATTCCAGAGAAAATAACACGAGGTGAAATGTCATTATAAACAATATTGTAACGCAATGTCCAGGCGCGGTGAGATGGCTTTCCGGCAAAGCAGGTTTAGGGTTGCCATAAAATAGCAAGGGAAGTCAGGGTTGCCACATTTGGCAAAAAACGCCCATTTGGTGACATTTGGCGACTTAGCGATAAACCATGGACGGTTGGAGAACCTTCTGGAACGAATTCTTGCCGGTTTAGCCCAGAATGTTCTCGAACACAACCCGAAAGCTATATAAACCCTGCTTGTCCGCAGTCAGTTCGTGTGTGCCTCCAGAGTGCGAGATAGTATCTCGAGTCGATCCCGATTTGACAGCCGGGCAGCGAGTGCCGAGTGGGTCGTCGAGTTCATCGAAGGCGTCTCTTAGTGTATCGCGGTTAGTGTATCGTCGAGAGAGCGTGTTGAGATCCGGGAACTATTAAACCGAAGTGTCGGGAGCCGTGCTGTGTGTGTCGTCGAGTGCATCGCGAGTTGTAGCGTAGAGAGTCTCGAAAGTACGTGGAGTTCCGAGAAAGACCGAGCATAGTCGGGAGCTGTATTCTGGTGCTTTGCAGTGAAGCTGTCTCCACCGTTATTGCCTGACAGTGTGAAGGCTGTGTCGCTGATTGTTCCAGCGTGTTCATAGTATATATTCGACGACTGGAAAAAGTGCTTTGGAGCTGTCCTGATTAATATTGGCTAAATAAAGTGTGTTTCGATAATTCATCAAGTGTCGTCGTTATTCACTCCAAATCTGCACGAACCCGTGAAGAAAATTAAACGTAACAATATTTTCTAGATCAGGTGTCAACAACTATTTTGTTCTTTTGTTACTAGATTTAATGCCGATGGTTTAAAAAAGAAAGAATTCAAAAATAAACCACCGAGAGCGCTTACTTAAATTTTTGGGAAAAACAATCAAATTTGCTAACTTAATTTTCTAATCATAATGTTGTGACAACAAATAAAGTAATTATGTTTTTAAATGTGTACATCTGCTCAAAATAAAGAGCATAAATGCACGTAACAAGTAAAAACAAAATTATAAAGTATAAAATCATAAAATATTAACACACATTTTGATAACGAGGGTGCATCTGAAACGTGCCCGCGGCCTGCGTCAAATCTCTCTAAATATCCGTTTCACTTTTCAAACTGACGCCACCAAAAATTATTCTATTGCATTATATTTGAAGAAGTTAAATAATGAAGAATCTGCATAAATGTATGGATGTGTCTCGCATTGTGATAAAACAACGGTACCTAGAGTCGTCAAATTTTGAATAACGTAATCCTACTGCGAATATGTGCATCTGGAAGCCCAAATTTGGAATTTGTTTGTTGCATTTTAAATCTAGGCGACTGAAAACATGTCGACGTTAGTTGTTGCTTCTGAAACATTTCGATGTTATATAGCGAAATATTCACTATTATAATACTTACTGTAGAGTCCTTAGGTTATTTTGGAGCAGGAGATATGAAAAATGAGCAATGCCCTCCAACTTGAGCCTTTCGAATACGTGCCGAGTGTGTTACAGTTACACCACGGAGGCATGCAGAAAGAAGGGAGAAAATACCTTATATACTCCTCTTTTTTAAAGGACTCAAATCGGCAAATTTTGGTGGTGAAGAATCATTATCCACCACCTTTTTAGTTCGGGCGCTACTGTAGAGACATTAGGTATTTTTGAAGTACATGAGAAAGGAGCAATGCCCTCGCCGTGACTCGAACCTGGACCTCTCGAATACGCGCTGCGGGTGCTACCGTTATACCACGAAGGCATGCAGAAAGGGGGGGGGAATAACTTATAGTATTACATCGAGATGATGATGCTTCAAAAATATTCTTGCGATTTAGCGGATTAATAATAATCTGCGTTAATGAAGAATACTCTAAAAGATAATGAGTTCGATCAAAACAAAAAAAGTTTGAAACCTACAAGCTGAAAAATGCAGAAAACTAGCGCAGATTTTATTTCAAACACAAGCAGTTTAACGCTAAAATTATGATATATACTACTTATGAAAATCAAACAATTGCTATTATAATTAAAACTGTGAAGACTAAATTTGTAAGATGATCTGTCATACTGCTTAATGTCGATCTGAAAGCAGTCTTAACATTGTATCTCCCTACTGATATTAAAATACAGCATCATTCTCTTTCCATCAGAAAAAAATCAGCAATAAATAAACAAGGAAATATATATATATATATATATGTAATAATAAAATTATAAAATATAAAATCGTGTAATATTAACACACATTTTGATAACGAGGGTGCATCTGAAATGTGCCCGCGGCCTGCGCAAATCACTCTAAATATCCGTCAAAAACACACTTAAAATTCTAACTGTATGTTCTTTTCATTTTTAATGGCGACGGTCTCTTATTTGAAAGTACGTGGAACTAAATCTACAGTCCCGTAGTCAAATTATTTTTCCCGCCTTTTCTATACGTACAGTTATAGAATATTCTGGAAATATTTAAAGCGAACTGGATTGGCTGACGAGGCTGACGTCATTTCTTGGAAGCCCCGCCTTTCCAGAGGTTATAAAAGGACTCGCAAAGGAATATCGGAGGCTTTTCTTTATTGTTACGATGCAGTAAACGTCATACAAAAAGTTATTAGTAATTCTTTTTATTTACTCCGGATTTTGTAACTGCTATGTCTCCTGAATAATAATAAATGGATCCTGTTTTTTAAACTTATCGTCTGATAATTTAAGCTACGACTACATTTATGATTCCTCACCAGTCTATTTATTCCGGACAAAAGCTGGTACATCACACATATATATATATAGATATAATTCTGAAAAGGCTTATATTTTAACGGTAGCCCAAAAGGGTTTGTTAAGGTTTTCTATGCTCTCGCTTAGCTCGCAGTCTACAGTCTGCTATTGCACTCACTCCTGTTAACCCATTTCTTTTTATGTTTTTAGCTTTTTATTATTCACGTTTTCTGCGTTGCATTTATTAATTAAATATCATGTCTTCGCCCTTACGCCACATAAAATTCAGTTGAATAGCAAAATCACAAAATATTTAAAAATAACATATCTTTAGAATTTCCGACGGACAATCTCAGGCGCTGGAGGCAACAATGTTTTAATCTGTGCAGTGTTTTACTGCTCGCTTTCAAATCGTTGAATTTGTTACAATTCATTAAAGCTTTACAAAATATAAAATTCGAAATTAAAAATTCGGGCTTCCAGGTGACCATATTCGCGTGGGGGACTACGTTATTCAAAATCTGATGACCCTAGGTACCGTCGTTTTTTCGCAGAGGAAGAAACACACATACATTCATGCAGATTCTTCATTATTTAATTTCTTTAAAATTAATATAAGGCGATAATATTTCTTGGCAGCAATTTAAAAAGTGATTCAGACATTTAAAGTGATACGCCGCCATGTGTCGTTTGGAGACTAATAGCCCATTCGAGCTAAAGCCCATTTGGGTTAAAAACAAGCACAAAAGACAAAGAGCATTACGTAATTTTTCAAAGCATTTATAAAGAAATTTCGGAAACTAATAAAATATGCAAGATTGCTAAAATTACTATTTATAATAAATTTCAGATCTAGAAGGATGAGTTTAAAAATGTTTATACTCTTAAAAACTCAGGTAATTTTCCACATTTTCTTCGAATTTTTTTGAGGCATAAGGTTCGTAGTGAAGAACAGTAAGGAAAACGTAAAAATCTCCGTGTCCTGTCTAAATAATTATTTTGGAAAAAGCTGTTAGCGCTGTCAAGCTAATAGCTATAGGCTATCCTCATCTTAGACAGTTTTCTTTATTTTATTTTAATACAGACTTAAAAGTGAAATTTTTAATTTTCATGTTTTAATACCTTATCGCATTGGAAGCGGTTAGCATACCGCTTCTGTATGAATGTACGTACGTTTCTCTCTCTGCGAAAAGACAACGGGTACCTTGGCCCATCAGATTTTGACTAACGTAGTCCTTCACCCGAACATGTTTACCTGGAAGCCCGAATTTTGAATTTCGAGCTGCAAACAGAAAATTAGAAAAATAAGTTATGTGTTTGAACAGTTTCAACCATTTAGATTCAGCTATCATTTCAAATAGTTAAATACTGTTTCTTATTTAGCGTGGCGCAGAATGTTTACGAAATGATATCGTGTCTCAGTTTGGGACAGGAAAGTTTGAATTCTTCATAGACTTATTTTCAAGTAAAACATTAAAATTACCTGCATTTGGCAATTCAAGACATCAGTATATTTTATTTATCAACATTTGTACAGTTTATTTTATTAAATGTCTAGCAGAAGTAACCACAAAAGATTGCTATCATTTTAATATTCTTTTCTTTATTTATTTAGTTTACATTATTAGTTTTGAAATCAGAGTTTAATATATTGTTATTAATTTGTAAGTAATGCATAGCAATTTCTATCTAAAGTCTGAATCCTGTAAATTTTATAATTCTGAGCTCATATAACGAGTCCTTACCAAATGTTTTGTAAATTTCTTTATTAATCTTTCGTTTTGACTGCCCATGTCAAATCTCCTAATGAACTTCAAGAGCAAGATTTTAACTATTATTCATACAATATATGAAGTTTTTATTATATAAAAAGAAGCAGAAATAATTTCTTGCAACTCCAAATACAACATAGCAACAACTAATGACACTGTGGAAACCGATAAAATTTTCTGTTCTGCAAACGAAAAAAAAAAAAAAAAAAAAAAAAAATAAGAAATTTGTTTTTCTTACACCAAAATGATCTTCATTTTGCTTCAGTTCCTAAACGAAGAAAGGCGTAGTACAACTCCAGATGTTACTTCCTACTCATTTTGTGTCCGGGAAAATATTGGACGAGGCAGTTCGCAATAACTGTTGCGTGCAGGCTTTTCCTGTTGGATAAAGGGGCTCGGAATTTCTCCTTCTTCCTTTTCGTCGTTGCCAAGGCAACCACAAAAGCGGATAAACAGGAGACACAGAAGCTTGGAGATGCCTCAGAGTGCTGTCCGATTACTCACTGGGAGTATCAGAAACACTGAAAATATAAATATGGATTACAAGAACTATATGCATAATAATAAGCCTGCAGAATTTCGTTTAGATTGAAGCTTTTCATTTAATTACAACAAAGTTAACGATTTAATAATGCTAGTTTTATTGAAACGAAATGTGAAATGAATTGAGAATAAAAAAATCTGATGTGTACACCACATGACTTCCTTGTATTGGAATATTAAATTATACGCATTTTTTCTTGCATTTCATTTAAACTTATTGGATTGAATTCGCCGACAGCGCATAAACCACAATAGAATAAATGCATTCTTTAAAATTCACTCTAGTATTTGTTTACCATAGCGACACTCTGGCGCTATATTCACTTAACAGTATTAATAATTATATAACCTTATATAATATACTAACAACTGTAGAACGTAATATTTCGTCACATTTATAACTCATAATGCACAAAATTTATATCAATTAAAGAATAGAATTATCTAATCGTTGCCACATGTTCTATTCAATGCTATAATAAAGCTAGAATGAATTTATAAAGAAATTAAGCAAACAAACAAAAAGGAACAGTTTTCACAGACGATTGAGTATTTCTCATTCAATTAATTCAGTTTTCACTTCGCGAGAAGGCAAAAAATACATAAAAACTCAAAATATCTATATTAAAAATTACGAAGTAAATCTCAAACATTTATTTCCTCGAAAAAATTCCAGAAAGAATTAAGCATGATTTAATTGGCAATAATAAATGAATACGTTATCTTTGTTGTTGGGAAGCTAAGTTTCTCTAGATTGGCAACAAATCCACTAGTCTCCTGTTTCAAATGTAAACATCAATGGCCGCCATTAAAAACAGGCTTAGCGGCAATTAAATAACTATAAAATTGCTGATAATTCTAAAAATATTGCACACCGATTTACTAAAGGCATAAAATCCTTAACCGGAAGATAAAAAAAAAAACAAATTCAAACCATTTTTAAAGCAAAAAATGACAATTTACAACATAAGAGTAAAGAACTGAGATCACTGAGCCGGGTAACAGAGTGGATATATATATCATATATTATTACGTTTGGTGCGGCGATTGCAACCAAAATACGAGGTGTACATCTACATATTATAGCAGTCCTATATACAAAAGTTCAACGTTAAGGCTACTCGTTTTTGAGTTATGCGAGATAGTACTACGTACATTCGCTGGACAGACGCCACGAAAAATTCTCTTCAGATTAATTTTAAAGCAGTTTATAATTTTTTTGAAGGAAAAGAGTATTTTATTCTGTCCTTACGTACAGATATCACGCAAAAACATCGTTAAATTGCATTCGATAGCGGTCAAATGGATATTTTCGTTGATTAATAGTGCCTGAAACTTTTTCGCATACATACTTCCCCTTTATACTTTTACAAACCCCCCCCAATAACTTTCCCCACGCCCCCCCCCCCCCCCCCCTCCCCCCCCCCCCCCCCCCCCCCCCCCCCCCCCCCCCCCCCCCCCCCCCCCCCCCCCACCCCCCCCCCCCCCCCCCCCCCCCCCAGTTTACAAGGAGTAAAAATGTACACAATATTTTCGCAATAAAAGCAGACTGTTCACAAATGCAATAGACCTGTTTTAGTAGGTTTAGCGTGCCCTGTAAGTGTAATTCTAATGCATTAACATATAATTTGACAAGGATGATAAATAAACCTTTTCCATTTGTAATTCGACTGCTCAAATAACGTTTCAATCGTACATAATTTATTTACTTATTCTTTAGCCAGAAGGAGCAATTTGAACAGAAGAACTATTAATTTCGTTTTGGCATTTCGCATTGGTTCACTATAAATGGTGTTTCACTTTCAGGTTGTTGCCACCAAATATTAGACCCTTACATTATATTTAAAGAAATTAAATAATGAAGAATCTGTATGAATATATGCATGTTGCTCTTCCTGTGAAAAAACAACGGTACTTAGAGACATCAAATCTTGAATAACGTTCTCCACCCAAATATGGGCATCTAAGAAGCCCAAGTTTGGAATTTGTAATTTGTTTTATTATCTATTTCATATTTTATAAAACTTTAACGAATTTTTGATTAACAAACTCAGCGATTTCAAAGCCAGCAATGGCAATACTGTGCGCAAAAAAAAAAAATATCTACAGCTCGCGAGATATGTATCGGAAATTCTAAAGATGTGCTCTTTTTAAATTATTTTGTGATACTTCTATTCAGTGATTTCAAAGCCAGCAACGGCAATACTGTGCGGAAAAAAATATCTACAGTGCGCGAGACTGTGTATCGGAAATTCTAAAGATATGCTCTTTTTAAATTATTTTGTGATATTTCTATTGAATTGAATTTTATGGTTTAATTGAGAAGAACACGATACTTAATAAATACAGGTAACACACAAAACATTTAAAAAACGCGCCTTTGGATGCAATATAAAATCTGAAAGCTTTCACTTTTTTATTATAATTATTATTATCATTTATTTTTGAGAAATGAATATACGCTAGCAAAATAGCCTAAAACTGAAATATATGTTAAGAATTATGATTACAAAAGAAAGGTTATTGGTAAAAAAGAAAATTTTTCTCATTTAAGGAGAGTTTTCTGCGACATGTATTTTAGATTCGCCAATTAATTTATTATAATTTGTATTGCTATTGTAATTTGCAGTGCTGGGTTCCTGTGTCATTTGAAAAAGGGACTTTTTGAATCTAGTTTTGCGATTTCTGCACCTTACATTATCTTAAGAGCTCGAAATACACGGATTTTCACAATTTCAGCCTGAGTAAAAGTAATAATATTTTTATACGGGATCCAAAAATCTCTTACAGAAGGTTCTGTATATTTTTCTCGAATTTAGCTCCCCCCCCCCCGTGAATGAAAATTACAGAGTATTTATTTTTTCTTCTTTTTTGTCTTTATAAAGAACTAGAAGGAAATTGGTTTTGAAACTCTATTTGCTGATTTTCATAGCATTTTTTAAGTTACATACATTGACAACTTACATTGCTCCATTACAAGTCTAAATAAGCACAACAGATTATTTAGATTTACAATCACAAAAATAAAATTTGTTCGCCTACTCTATTTCGAACTGATGGTTTTCTACGCCTCCTTTCTTTCGTAAGCCCGACACGATTGTATTCTCTATTAATATATAAAAAAAAATGCTGTACACCACTATATAAGTAGAAAATAACTTGAATATGCTTTGTGGCTTCAGTATACAAAACAATATCCAATGAAAGTGGATAAGCACAGTAGGCAGTATCAATGCATTATTACTCAGTTACGAGCGGGGAGAGAAATCTAGCTGTGGATGATCGATCATACAAGGTCATAGCGCTTCTTTGCGGTTACGTCGTAAACTACCTAACCTGTTATCCTGCGCCCAGAAATGCCACATTTTATAATTAATTTATGAGAATAACTTCTTATTTGTATTATGATATATTACAATCTGTAATTTTACATTATAACTTGTATTGTTATCATACTGTTGGTATGTTGTCCATTTTATATTATTATAATTATTATTATATTTTTCATAATAAATCTTTTTTAAAAGAGTTTGATATTAATTCAAAATGTAATTCCTCTGATGTAGACCAACTGCATAAATACATAAATATAACTATACAATACATAAATATAACTGCAAAATTAAAAATTTTTGTAATGATCTCACAGATCAGCGAGGGATTCAACTATGAATAACTAGCTATTCAAGGAAAACTACGAAATTAAAGGCTACGATATCCTGAAGGTGAAATGAAACACAGGAATCTAACAGACACAATATGCCAGACAAAACCAAGAATGAGAACAAACATTTCATGGGAGAATTCAAGTGAAAAAGAGAGAGTGAGAATGGTTTGCAAAATTAACGTTTTTCCAAGGGGAAAAAGAGAGTTTAATCAAATAATTCAACTGTAAATAAAAGAAATTGCTTTCGAACTTAATACTCAATTGTTTATCAATATTGTAATGAGAAGAAAGATTTTTATGTTGACTTATTAAGTTTTTTTGGGGGGTAGGAAATATGAAAAATTTGCAAAGCCCTCAGAGGGACTCGAATTTCGGATCTTCAGATGTTAACCGGAGGCGCTTTCCACTTATACCACGAAGGCACGCGGTATCGAAGGAGAAAAATACCTCTACCACTTAAAGGGCAACTGCCGAGGATGAAATCCAATCGACAAATCATAGTAATAGCGAATTACTGTCCATCACATTGTAGGGTTTATATTTATTTTAACTAACATTTATTTTAAGTTTAAGCTATCTTTCCTGTCAAGCCTTTAATTTTCCCTGGAATTGCCAATGCCAGAGTATGTAAATTTTAGTAGAACGCGCAGAGTATTCAAATTTTTAGCAGAAGTAATTTGAGTTAAATAGAAGGGAAACGAGTTTGTAAGTGTGCTTCTTGATTCACGAGCGTGAAGGTTGCTTGGTAGAAGTTTAAGAACCGCGCGTTTCGGCCTGTGTGCTTACTTCGGCAGTTAGTTGAATTCTTTCAACGTCTTAATCAGAAAGTTTGCTGAATCTCAGCTGTATCTTAGAACGCGGTTAAGATAGTTACAATTATAGAGCCTCGTAGATAGTGACTTCGTTAGTTATGCATCCTGTTATTTAGTTTTAGTTGTACTTTTCTATTTTTGGTTACACCGCCGGGTCGGCGTAGTTTGTGAGCGTTAAGTGAACGCAACTGTAAGTTCTAAAGTGAAATAAAAAGGGATTAAACCCTTCTTACGAGTTTGTGTAACTTCCAGTTCATAGCAGTCACTACTACTGTTGCGGACAAGTTGGGGCCACGCAACATCACAACATTTTTAGTTCGAGTGGCACTGTAGGGTCACGAAGAATGGAAAATGAGGATTTTGGAATGGGAAATGAGGATCTTCCTATTGGAGTCGGAAGTGCTTCCACAAAGGCACGCGCTAAAAGAGGGAGAAAATACCTTACGTTCTCTCCTACTTAAAAGGCGACTGGGAAGGTGAGGATTCAGACACCAAATCC